GCTTTTTCCCTTCTAGAGTAGAGAGCCGAGGGGGGGGCGAGCGGACATGACGGGACGGGCTGGCCGGCGGGCCTCTCGCCGGGGGCCACGCGGCGAACGACCCGCCGCGTCCCAGACCTCGGGCGCTTCCAGCGGGCCCCAAGGGCGACGCGCGGCCGCGGGTGCGTCGCAAGGAGCCGTAGGGGTATTCGGATGGAGCCCAGTGGAGTTCAATGTTGTGAGTCCAATGGCGCCCAATAGAGTCGTGTGCAGTCCTATGGAGCACATGGAGCACAGTGGAGTCGTACGGGTATTCGAGTAGAGTCCAATTGGGGTCGCATGGGTGTTCCAATTGAGTCCCATTGGGTCTGATGTAGCCTTCTAAAGCCTCCTGGAGCCCAATGGACTCCAACAAAATCCTATGTCCGATGGAGTCCGACAGGATCCAATGGACTCCAATGGAATTTTGTGGGGTCCAATGGAGGCCAATGGAGTCGACTGTAGGGTCCAATGAAATCCCATGGAACCATGTCAGTCAATCCGACGGATTCGATATGGAGTCAACGCTGTCAGATCTTCAGCTAGCTACTGAGATACATCAAACGATCGTAAAGAGTTTAGATTCGCGAGCCCTCATCCGACCCTTTGTCATCCGACCCTTTGCCCTGGTGGTCCGAGGGGTTCTCGTGGGGGCATCCCTCTCTCGATTGACTCCTGCCTCCGCTTTTCTCCTGCCTCCTCCTCCTCCGGCGTCCTCCTCCTCCTCCTGCCACCTCCAAGCTTGCAAGCGTTTTACAGGTAGAGGGCGGTACCTTTCAAAATGTGGCTCTCGCCTGTGCGCCTCGCACATTCATCTTCGTATATCACAGCTTCAAAAGTTCGCATGGTTGGCGTGCCAGAGATGGTGCTTGGCACGAGGTACGACTGTAAGGGCGTAACAGTTGTATTGATTTGCGGCGATGAAGGCGCAGGAATGGCGTGCTGGCACGATTCCAGATTTTCTGACGGTTGTCATTCCAACGGGGCACTTCCCTCAGTGATAATGACAACTTGTGAGGACCTGTGCAGAGGAAACTTGAAGGGAGGATGGATTGCAGCATCATTGCTCAGTCTTAGAAATTTAGCTTGTCCTCCTCATCCTGCTTCTCCTCCCCCTCCTCTTCCTCGTCCTCCTCCTCCTTCTCATCATCATCAGCAGCAGCATCATCATCACCATCGAATCATCAGCAGCAGCATCATCAGCATCATCACCATCATCACCATCATCACCATCGTTATCACCAGCATCATCATCATCATCATCATCATCATCATCATCATCATCATCATCATCATCATCATCATCATCAGCATCATCATCAGCATCAGCAGCATCATCATCATCAGCATCATCACCGTCGTCATTACCATCACCACCACCATCAGAATCATAAGCAGCATCGGCATCATCGTCAGTCTCATCATCAGCATCGTCAGCATCAGCATCAGCATCAGCAGCACGATCATGATCCGTATCACCATCATCATCACCATCACCAGCATCAGTATCATCATCAGCAGCAGCATCATCAGCAGCAAGAGCATCATCCGAATCAGCATTACCCTTTTTCACCATCCCTCAACCTACTCCTCCTCCTCCTCCTCCTCCTCCTCCTCCTCCTCCTCCTCCTCCTCCTCCTCCTCCTCCTCCTCCTCCTCCTCCTCCTCCTCTCTCCTCCTCCCTCCTCCTCCTCCTCCTGCCTGAACCACTACATCTGACCTCCTCCTCCCATCTGCCGCTGACCCCCACCCCCCCTCCCGGCCCCTCCCTCCCTTCCCCCTCCCCCCGTCCCCTCCCCCTCCTCCCCTCTCCCCCTTCTGCTCCCCTCCCCTCCCTCCTCTCCTCCCCATATGCTTCCTCCCTCCCCCCTCCCCCCCTCCCCTCTCCCCCTCCTGCTCCTCCCCCTCCTCCCCCCCCCCCCCTCGCCCTCGCCCGCGGCCCTCGCACGGGGCCGCGGAGGCGGAGGCCGAGGAGGGGGGGGGGGGGGGGGGCAGACAGGCCGAGGCCCGCAGTCCATGGAAGGGGCCCTGGGACACACAAATAGATACACACAAAGAAAAGGATTCCCACTACGTTCCCATGTTTTCTAGGCTTTTGTCCTCCCCCCCACTTCCCATGTGTTCCCATCTTTTCCTGGGAAGGGACGATGAATTGTGCCTGTATGTGTTTCTCCCCTCCTGTGCCATCATCGGACGCCCCTCTGGGCCGCCGGCTTGATGTTCCTCTGCACCATGTCGGCGAAGTTCACCTCGTATCTGAAGCCCGCGGAGGCTCTCGCGGGAGCCAGGGAGGCGGCAGGGAGGAGGAGGAGGAGGAGGAGGAGGAGGAGGAGGAGGAGGAGGAGGAGGAGGAGGAGGAGGAGGAGGAGGGGGAGGAGGAGGGGGGGGGGGGCGGAGCGGGAGCCGGCTCCGACGAGGCCCTCGCCGTCCTGCCGCGCAGGCCCCTCCTCCGTCGGCCCTTCACGGGTCGCTGCGCGCTACGGACACGCAGGTGTGCTCACACTCGCCGGCGAGGCCCTCGGCAAATCGGGTCGGGCGAAAGGGGGGGATAGCAAAGGGGGGGGTTGAGAATCAGCTCACGTAGCTGATTTTCCCGGCGCCTCCCAGCGCCGGAGGCGGCTATGTATCGAGGAATGGGCCCCTCGGTGAGGCTGAAACCAGCTGCATGCAGCAAATTTCGTAACCCCCCCTTTCCCAATCCCCCCCTTTCGCCCGGCCCGAGCAAAGCAAGGCTCGTCTTCTGGTTCGCTCTAAGTCGGGCCTGTCCCCCTAATTACAGGGGGATGTTCGACGAAAACTCGAAGCATACCCCAAAATAATCAAAAAATAATCCGAAAGTAGTCTGGGGACTATTTTTAGAATATGTGTTGACCTTTTTGGGGTGTTTTGGGGGTCTGTTCTATTTTTCGTGGAAAATCCCCCTGTATGGGGGACACGCCCGACAGAAGGTCCGCCAGAGCCCACGCCTGGATCGAAGGCGCGCGGCGTGCGCTCTGGCCGGGCGCGGGGCCCGACTTGGCGGCGCGCGCTCCAGCCCTCCCATCGAGGCGGTCCGAATGGAATGGAATGGGACGCTCGCGCGGGCAATCGCCCGGGCCCCTTAAGGGCAGAGCGGGTGAGGCCGTGGCCTCGCAGACATGGCCGGCTAGCTGGAAGCTTACTGCTACGCTAACATGACGCAAGCCAAACCCGTGCTGAGATCAGAACCCTCGGGCGGCCGCCGGCTACAGTCGGACCTAGGGCAGAAGAACGTCCTTCAGGAACGTGAGACCCTCCGCCGCCATACCTGGGCCCGAAAGTCGGCGACCAACTGGGAACTGCTGGGCAGGGTGCCCGACGACCTCATTTCGCGAGTGCTTTCGTGGCGCCTCCCTGAAGCCCACCAGTGTTGCAGATAGATCCCTCGCAGGCGTCACGCGACCGGTCATGATCACTTCTTGAGGTGAAGTCTCCGCCGTCGCCGGCCAGGGCAAAGTGTGATCGTCTCATGTCATGCCACTGGGGGGACCCGTCTTTCGCGCTTGATGGCACGAGCACTGAAGACAGGCTGAGCTCGACGCGGGTCGCACCACGTCCAGTCACCACCACTGAGCCACAGCGCACAAAAAAAAAGCGGCGGGCCCTCGTCCAGGATGGCTGGGGGGCCTTCCCGAGCGAGGCAGAAGGGCGCAGGAAGCTGTCGACCTCGTCGTCGCAGGCACGGGCATGGGGCATGCTGGTGGCGGGAAGAGCAGGGGGAGAAGGCGATGGAGACGACGCGCAAACAAGGGAGGACAAGGTCAGGGAGGGTGGGCGCGCGGAACAACCACTAAAACTGGACGTCGCTCCCAATCGTGCAGCCCCGGGTGGAGGAGAAACGAAGCAGGAGGGAAGGGGAGGAAGGGACGCTGTGGCTCCTGCCTGTACGAGGAGATGGCCGTGCGCCGCGGGTGGACCAGCGGTCCCTGGCAGTGGCTCCGTGGCCCGTGCTCCTGGGCCTTCCTGGAGCTGCTGCTGCCGCAGCCTGCCGCGCGGATTCACCGACTGGGATGCCCTGGGCGTGGCTCAGCGAGATCCACACAAGGCGCAGCAGGCCTCGCCTCGTGCCTCTGCACAAACATCCGGCGGCAGCGGCGGACGCATCTGGAGGAGGCCCTGAGCCTCGCGGAACAGCCCCGGCCCCGCTCCTCCCAACATCTCACCCAGGTCCGCACCACCGAGGGCCGACCACCCCTGATGGTTGGTCTGGCTCGCGGCGGGCTCGTGCCTTGACGCCTTGCGCGCTGGTTTCTGACACAGAGTGACTGCTTCAACCATGAACGATCGCGGCTTTCCGGTCGCGCGGATCGATAGATGCGGGCATATACCCCTCCCCTCCTCTTCCTCCGCGTCCCTCTTCATCGTCCCTCTTTCACCGCATCCTCCCTCTCCCTCATACTCACTGTCCCCTCTTCCTCCTCACACCCCTACACCTCCTCCAACATTTTAACACCTCTCCCTCGTCTTCCGCTTCGAATCCCCTATTCCCTCCTACATCTCCTCCTCGGTCTTAGTCTCCCCCTGCACCTCAGCATCCTCCGTCACCGGCGCCACCACCACCTCCTCCTCAGCGCCACCAGAACCCTTCGACCCGCCGTCCTGGGCTCCCCGCTGTCCTCGCTAGTTGGAGAGTCAGGGGTGGGAAGGTGTCGCAGGACGACGGGTGGCACACAGGAAGGTGCAGTAACTCCTGAGCCCAATCGAAGAAGGGGGGCGACCTGGTTTGACGATTCCGCGAAGACGCCAGTTCGAACGACGGATCGTCAACGAATGCTCTGAAACGGCCATTTGCAAAATGTAACAGGCACGGCAAGCCACAGGCATCCCACATAGTCCGTGTGCACGATCCTCACCTCAAGTCCAGCATTGGTCTGAAGCTGTTTCCAGTACTTCTCCATGTTCTCGGCGGCCTGCCCCTCATAGTTGTACCAGCCAACTTTCTTGCCATCCACCTCATTGTGCATATCCGCTGGGTCCACATTGTGGTGCCATCAGACTTAGAGACTATTCGAAGTGCACCGTGATCCCAACTTACCTGATGCATTATTCAGGCATGACTTAGAAGAGCAGCATGCGGACAACGGAACACCTCCCCCGCGCTGTGCCGGAAGGGGGACAAAGAAGTGAGGAGGGGGTGACGAGAAAATAGGACAGGCGATGAAAAGAAGGGCGCCCTTCCGCGCAACACCACGTTGTGAATCCAAAAGCACGTGTAGACATCCTTCCCTCCTGTTCCTCCAGTTCGCCCTCCTCCTCATCCTCCCCCTCCTCCGGTCCTTCCCCCATCCTTGGCGTCGTCATCATCATCATCATCATCATCATCATCATCATCATCATCATCATCATCATCATCATCATCATCATCATCATCATCATCATCATCATCATCATCATCATCGTCATCATCATCATCATCATCATCATCATCATCATCATCATCATCATCATCATCATCATCATCATCATCAGCATCGTCATCATCATCATCATCATCATCATCATCATCCTCACCATCATCATCATCAGTATCATCCTCATCCTCATCCTCATCCTCATCATCGGCATCATCGGCATCATCATCATCATCAACATCATCATCATCATCATCATCATCATCATCCTCATCATCATCAAAATCAACATCCTCTGGGCGGAGGGCCCCGAGCACCGCCACTCAAACAAGTGGCCCCCCGCCCACTGGGGGGACGCACTCTGGCAACCTCCATGACGGCTGCAGGGCAAGCGGGCCATGCAGACGAACCAGAAGTCCCTTCTGAAGTACTTCAGGTACGACGACGACGACGACGACGACGACGAGAGACGACGAGCGACGAGGATGACGACGACGACGACGACGACGACGACGACGACGACGACGACGACGACGACGACGACGACGACGACGACGACGACGACGACGACGACTACTCCCAGAGCTGCCTCTCTTCGAGGGGACGATCGACGAGGCCGGCCCCTCGCAGGGAAGAGCGAACCCCAAAGCCATGAATCCCATCCGCACCAGCAGTACCCATACGATCGCACTTCAGGTAGTACGGAGGTCCTTGGGGGTGGGGGGGGGTAGCCAGCGTCTCCCACGATCGATCTCACGAATGACCCCAATATCGATCGAACGATCCCTCTTACTACCGATCTCACTATCGAGATCACGATCGATCGCATTATCGATCTTACTATGGATCCTGCGATCGATCCCACGATCGATCGCACTATAGATCTCACTACCAATCCCACGGTCAAACTCAGTATCTCACTACCGATCTCACTATCGATCTCATTATCGACTTCACGGGACACCACGGGACACCACGGGACACCGCGCCACGTGACACCAAGCCACCGAGGGGCACACCACGGGACACCACGGGACACCATCGGGACACCACGGCGGGACAGCCCCAGCTGCTGGCGGAAATGCCGACGGGCGGCGGAAATTTGGGCCGGCGGCGCCATAGCCAGAGGATTCATTCATCTCGCCAGCCCACGCAGCTTGCCCCTGCCCGCGCGCGCGACACGAGCACGCGACCGACACCGAATTCCCGATGGGGGGCTCTCCGTTTCGCTGCGATCTCGCCCCCCACCTCCGACAGCAACCTTTCGCGAGGGCTAGGACCTCGAGGTTGGCTGAGTCGTAAGCGGCGGCATCATCGTTGACAGCGAGCTGGTAAAACGCACGTCAATAACTTCATTATCGCCACGGCCACCATCCAAACCCAGGATCCGCGCGAATCTGCGCAGCTGCATCGACTGGGGCAGGCTCACTCGGCCCTCGCACTCTTCATACATGCCTCCTTCATCGCACGCGACGCCGATCTCATGGGCGCCCATGAGAGTCGCACCCAGGGCAACCGTTGCATCGACCTCCGACTTTTCTCGGCACACACATGCTTGGGGAACGTGGCCGGCGAGGGCGGCGCCCAGATCAGGCTTCACAGGTCTTTCCGAAACCTCGCGTCGGGCACGGGATGTCATCCCAGGAGCTCCGAGATCATGCGCCTGGAATCTTTCAGGCCGGGAGTGGCCTGCTCTGCCGCCAGTGCGCGCGATCCAACGGCGGCGGCCCCCTGCTAGGAGAGGAAAGCCGTTCGGCTCGAGCATCAGCTCGGCAAGGTCGACCACCCGAATCCGAGCAGGCTCCTGGCATGCATTGACGCCAGCGACGACGACGCCGTCAACGGCTGCATTGCAAACTCCTCCATCTCCGCGGACATCAAGGATACCTTCAACGTGCGATCGCGCAGAGTAGCACGACTGCGCCAAACCGATGCGGCTTGGCAGCTCCCTCTTTCCGAAACGCTCCAACCACGCATGGGTCGCCGCAGAGGTGGGGCAGCAAGGTCACGAGGTCTTCACCACCAGAGACCACCACGTGGCCTGGGCGAACATTCTGCTAGACAAGCGATCTCCCGGTGACCATCCCAGGCGTCGCCTGGGCCGTCTAAAACTTCGCGATCCTAATCGGCGCGGCAAGTTGCAGCTGACGCGCGAGACGCAGCCCCTGCCCTTTCAGGAGCTACTCCCAGCGAGCCCCGATGCACATCACGCCGAGTATCGCAGAGGCTGCTGGAGACGCACTTCCTCTGCGAGGCCACGAAAGTCCAGAGAAAACCTTCAAAAGCCCTGGCCACCTGCCAGATGCTCTCGCAATGTCTCGAAAACACCACATTCGATCAGCAGACAGCCCGGGCTACTGCTATTTCTTGCAGGTCTGGCGGACTTCCCTTGCCAAGCACAGCGAGGCCTCCGCGCCCAGCGCAAGCGCATTCAGCAGTTCCTGCATTCCGGCGCCGCTGGCGTCCAACGACAGGCGCGCCATCGCAGCGCAGCGCGGTGACCTCGCCACGAGGGCGCAGACGCATGGGACCAGCACAACAGCAACACCCTCTGCGAGGTCACGCGTGAGATACGCGCACCTCGGGGGCAGCGCGTGCACCGTGCCCTGCGACATCTACGTGGTACAGTCCTTCTTGGCCATCTGAACATCCTGGACCGATGGCGCAGGCACCCGGCGCAACTTTTGCGGGAGCCATTTCGAAAAACTAGATGCTCGGGAATCCACCGAAGGTTCCAGTGATGCCCTGGGTGACACCAATGGGACGCGTCCGTGTCAAGGCGGAAACGCGGAGGCCCAACGCGAAGAAGGGTCTGGGACCCGACGCCATCAACGTCTCGGTAGGGCGCACTGGCGGCGAGGCCTCAGTCGGCACGGTCCTGCCACCGTTTGACCTCTCCGCCTCCCTGTGCCAGCTCCCAGTCAGCAGGAGAGGGGGCCAGATATTCGACATCTGGAAGCGCAAGGACGATGTCTTCCTGCCCTCGCAGAGTCGCGGCATCTTGGCATCCGATCGCCTGCCCACGCTGTGCATCATCTAGATCCCCAAAAAAGTCGACCAAGCCCTGCCGGCGGCAGTATTTGATGCGCAGTGGGGCGCAATCCCTGGTCGGGGCACGCCCCTCCTGACCGTCAGATTGCAAACCTTCGTGGAAACTGTGATCCACGTGCGCTAGTTCTGCGCTCTTCGACCTGGCCACTGCTCTAGGCAGCGTCATCTGGGAGTGCCTCGACGGAGATGGTCATCGACAGCTGCACCTGCCACATAGCGGATCACTTGCGTGAGCTAACGTGGCCCGCGTGACGTGGCCGACAAGGTCCAGCGCCATCTGCAGGACAGCTCCTCGCGCCTCCAAGCAGCGGGCATTGCTACGGTCGCCGCGAATCGTGGCGCACGCCAGGGCTGCCAACTCGCGCGCGGTGCTTCAATGTTGCCAACGAGCTGGCCGTTTTGTGCGTGAAATACTGCTTCCCGGAGAACACGATCAAGCTGAGCATGAAGATGTGCTCTGGGCAACCGAGTTCGACGGCAACCCCGATCACGTCTCTTTGCAGCAGGCCCCCAACGATCAGAAATGCGCGGACGACGAGGCACTCGAGTTCCTGTTCGATTCCCCTCAATCTACGCTTACCCAGGTGGGCCCTGAAGTGGCCATCACCTCTGAAAAGCTCAGCGAGGTAGTCTTAAATATCAATGTGGGCCATGGTAAAAGTGCGATCATGCCGCAGATTTGCGGCGAGGACTCCAGCACGACCTGGAAAACGAGTTCCACTCCATGGGTCGCGCGGTCTGTGGATCACCCAGAGGTCTTGAGCTCGAAACCGTTCACCATTCTGCGTGTCTTGGCACCACGCTTCAGGCGTCCGGTCGACACATGTTGGATTCCAAGCAGACGTCCAAGGCTCAGCTGACTCACGCCCCGTTGACGTTGCATGTCTTCGGATGCAGCACCCTACGTTGCTCAACGCGATCGGTTTTTGCTACAAGCTTGGTCTTCTAGAAAACACTAAGGCGTTGCTGCCTGGCGTGGAGATGACCCTGAAGCCCTGGCCGTCATGATTGGCAGTATCATCGCGCCCTCCAGAAGGTCTCAGGCGGCGTTAGCTGCGGGGCCCCCGACGCTGCCACCGACGAGGGGGTCAGGCAGAAGGCGCAAGCCCCGCTCATCGCGTCGACGATCCAGGCACGGAGGCTCTCCCAGATCGCGTCCTTTCCAGGCCGTTCCGAAGGCGGTCCTGATGATGGTCAAGGCCCAGGCTCTCTCGAGCCTCCGTCGGCGCAGACGCTGCTCTTCGATCTTCAGCAGATCGCGGTGGCCTTCCCCGAAAGAGAGGGCAGCAGCTGGGCTCGTCCTCAGCCAGCCCCGAGAAGGGGAAAGCCTACATGGTCGACTTCCCGCGACGGTGGAGGTGGCAGGCCGGCCAGACGAAAAAAGGTGGACTCCCAACCAGCCCGGTCCACTGACCAAGCGCAGGCTGTGCGGAAAGCAGTTCCCGCGCCCTCCGCTTTCCTTCTGCAAACCTCTCCTCACCTTCCTGTTTATTGAGGAACCGAACTTTATACACCGATGTTTGTTTTCCGGTCCCGCACTGGGATCCGCACAAGAAAACGGA